TCTCCCTTCTTGAATCAAGACTTATACCCGACAAGTCGGGCGGGGGCGGAGCAAGGTCCGTCGCGATGGCGAAACTCCGTTATGAGAACGGAAAGTCCTCCATAACCTTCCCCTCGAGGAATTTGGCTTCTTGAGCTAAGCTCAATGAGCTTCTTTACGATTTGGCTTTCGAATCATTTTAATTTCGAATTCATGGCCTCCGCAGCGAGACTGATTGACACACCCTCAATCCATAATTGCGATTGGTCACACTGAATGGCTGGGCAGTTCATCGCGTCGCGGACGGACTCACTCTTTTCGAGTCTTCAACAGCTGCCAAGTCCTACGAGAGGTTGCACAGTGGAACTCCCACTTTACCAAACGAACTCATGTGTTCATCTTCCACTAATGGTGAATCTTCGCCTAGTCGACTTCGACAACTTGGGAGCAGAGTATGAAATGTTTGGGAAAGAAACCTGTCGGAGCCCGCGTCAATCTGTCCCCGAGTCTCGGGGCCCCAGCCTCGGGGCCCGAGGGGGTTCTGTTCCTTAAAGCGAAAACTTCATGAAAATTAGATTCTCGCAACAGGTTGTGGCCTTTTTGGAGCTTGTAACACACTTTAGCGTGTGAAAACGGAGCTCTTCCGGAAAGACTCCCTGAATACTCCGAGAAGGATTCTTAAACCTCAAAAAGTTGATGGTTTCAAGAGACGTTTTGGGTGAGATTTGGTGGTCCCATGCATGAAGATCTCAAGAATGTTTCTCTAAGGGATTTTTAAAATAGGCTTCCGAGAGAGGCTTCTTCTTCGTAGCACCCGACGAAGGTTGAGGAGAAGCTCGCTGTCGTTGTAGGTTCCACAACCTTGGATACTGCTTGCTCGGTGTCTGGCTCCATAGCGTCGGTGCTCATAAGATTTCGGCGATCGAGTTGATACCGGGCAGACCAATGCACTTCGAGGACACAGTCTTCACGTTTTTCGGACGACATGTAAGATACACTTGCTGTTGCTGCCCCCTGGATACCTAGGTACTCGAGTCACAACATACGTCCTTTTTTTTCTCAGTCCTTGACGGTGTACCTGGGACACATGTTACCCGGTTTGTTCATACTCGGACTTTTTGTCTACTCGAAATGGTGGTAACTTTTCGGCTGGTCTTGGCTGAGCGTTTGCAGCGAAGGCAGATGAAAGTTTCATCTGCCTTCGATGGTTTCATCATGAAACCATCGACAGAGCCGACAGGAGAACTTCACCATACATAAACCATTACATTCCCAAGTCAGATCGCTGGAGTGGAGATACGTGATGCCCTCTACGACAGAGGCACTGCCAAGCCTTGGTCAACAACGGTCGAGTCATCATATGGAGTATTGTTATCCGTCGAACTATAAGACTGGCCATTTCCACTGTTAAGCAGTGGCTGCTTTGCTCGATGCTTACACGTGCGGTTTCGAGAGAAGATTTGAACATGTTCACTGCTGCTGTATACACTCCACCAGCTTCCTCTCTGAGGGACTCTCACTATTGTACTGTATTTGTCTCGTTATTTTACTCTACCCTAGTGGAACCACCCACAATCTAAAAGCTACTTTTCAAACTGAGTATAGGTTCACAGGATCTGTGTCATTGAGTAATCCAACTTGATATACTGCGGGGGTGGTACCGTTCATTTCGTCGAGACAGTTCGTTTTCAAGATGAGCGCCACCGGTAACAGTCCTGAAGGGCCCGTCTCAGATCTCAAAGTCTTATTAATCGCGAGCTGCACCATGTTTGCAAGCCTGAGTCTGGTGCATTGGTTGTCCATAGCCGAGCGAGCGCAGTACAAACGTGTGTGGTTTGAATATGAAAAGGTGGGCTCATCGAGCTAGATCTGTCTGTAGTGAGATTAGTGTTCTTCTTTCGGCAGTCGACGGTGTATTGAATTCGCGTTCAGATCTCTGAATCGGACGATAAAGCCATGGAAATGGGCGCTATTGGAGGAGACGAGTCGAAGATACAGCATGGCCCCAAGCCACGTGCTCCGTTACTGGACTTTTTGCGTGGTCTCTGTCTGGCATTCATCGTCTCTTTTCACTTCATGTGGGACCTCCAAGAGTTCGACATGTTACCTCATCCTCCCCCGGCCCACAAGGTCGATGGACTCCCAATAAAGAATTATATACTCTTCATTGTCTACTTTGTCATCTCCATCACCTCTTGTCTCACTGCCGCCCTTTACACTCCCTATTTGGGTTATGCATTGTAAGCTTGTGACACTATCCATGACTGCCTGATAAGAGTCCTACTCGATCAGGTATGCTCCGATAGTGACGTATTGCATCTATAGCATGTGGTGGGAGTCCCAAATTTCGGGTGTTTGCTTGATAATGACGTGCTTGGGAATGTCTCAAGCATTGGTCCATAGGAATGGTACCATCTGGCGAGAAGTCGTCATCAGAGCTGCCAAATTGAGCCTCCTCGCAGCTCTCATTTCTGCTTTATCGTAATAGTTACGTGCTAGACAGTCTAGCTTAGATTACACACAACACTTTTATAGTTTCACTTGGATCGATTTTACAGGTTATGGTTCGATCCAGAGCAGTGGATTTACTTCGGTGCCGTACACTGCATCTGTCTCAACAGTTTACTGACGGTCCCATTCGTCAGAGTGAGTCTTTCACCCGCCAAGTTGAATTATTCAACAGTCTTCACGTCAGAGGCCGAAGACGGCTCTTGCTGGATTCTTATTCATACAGACGTACACCATGGCCTTTGGTGCTTGCCCGATTGAGGTCCCGCTTGAGTTACCCACTCTAGATGTCATGCCTTGGTGAGATGGTACCCCGTCTTCCCGACGGGTCATGCTTTATCTACGGGGAATCCCCGTAGAATCTACGGCGTAGATGAAGCAACCCGTCCGATTCGAGCTTTCCTCTGGATGTGCCGAGCACTTCTCTGCAGGTTCCACAACTTTGGCTATTGCCTATTGGGCGTGTGGCTGTATAGCAAGGGTGTTCATAAGCTGAGTTCGTGCAGTATCATACCAAATACTCGTGTATATTTTGAAGACACCGTTATGACTACATTCGGTCGTCATGTGAGTCTTCTGTTCGACCAGATGAGACCTTAACCTACACCATCGTTCCTTTCAGTCCCTTTTAATATACTTGGCCCATCAAGGTGTATTATTCCCACTCGTGTATGGGGTCTCTCGGCTCAGTTAATCTCGCATTCTCTTCACTCAGCGGCCATACGGCATACCTGAAAGTATCTGATTGGTTGGTGTTGTCAGTGCGGGTCGGGCTTCCGGCCCGGAAGTTCCGGGTAAATGATCGGCAGTGCTCCCTTTCTCGTCAACCAAGTCGGGCGGTCTGTTGTCGCTTCGGCAACTCCCGAAATTGCTCGGTGGGTACCTGGCAGACACCATTTGCCTTCAAATTGTTAGAAGTCACATGATGGCGATAATCGAATCCACTACGCGAACCTATGCATCCCGGAGGTGAAACTTCCATGCATTTTGTAAGTTATATCACACAACTTGTATGAGGATTATTCGCTATTGTTCACACGCGATCCCAGAGCAATCAGGACGTGACCTATGTGACATGGACTATGTCGGTCTTCCCAGGGTGGTTGAAATAAAGAGATCGATCGTACGGCAAGGGGCCTACTGTGTCAAACACAGTGAAAGTGAAGCAAAATGTTTCGCAGATGCCGACCAAAACGCGTCATAACCCATTTTAACCAGCCATCGAGGAAGGTTAGTTTCTTGAAGTTCATGGAAATCATGAAAAATTGAAGTCTTTTTTGAACTGGGTTATGAGCTTCTTGAAGCTTCTTCAGCATTTTAAAGTAAAGGCCTTCCTGCGAGGTTCTCGCAGGAAGTGATTAGCGAGCTCTTTCAAGAAGGGTCGTTGGAGCTCAAGAAGTTAATGGTTTAACTTTCCTTGGACTTCTCTGAGGAGAACTTTGGAAGCGGTTTAGACAAAATTTGGCGGGCTCATGCGTAAAAAGCTCAAGAATGCTTCTTTAAAAAGACTTTTGAAATACGCCCCAGGTATTTCCACTCCACCCCCCCCCCCTCCCCCCTGCTTTGCCCTGATAGGAGTCCCCAGAGATAGAGGCAGCCTTCCAATCCAATCGAACATCTTTAGAGCTGATGCTGTGGGCACGAACTTCTCAATTGACCTTCCTAGTTTCCTGACTACACTTTCATACAGGGTACTGCAGCAGCAGTGCTACTCGGCAGATTTCCCCACCCTCTCCCAGACCACCCCGGGACCTATGGGTACGATGAGCAGCGGTTCATCACCGTGTAGTGAGAGAAGCTTCGCCGACTGGTCCGCGCGACTGTTCCTCTCGCAAGACTTTTGCCTGGCGTACTGTAGCTCCACATCCACTCGCAGATCCAGCGCTCACTGCCGAACGCACTGGACTCCGCGACAGAATTTGCGCTTGGCCAGCCCAACTAACTTAGTTGAACTAAAAGGACAGTCGCCCGTTGACAGTCCGTTATGTCATAAAGGTTATGACACGTCTTTGTTCGGTTGCCTCGAGTTGAGGCCCTCAACTGTCCGGAGGAGTCCCAAGAGCTCGGCCTGTAGTGCCATGGCATGCGAAGGCAATTGCTAGTCCCCGGTATTCCATCCTGGGTCGGACACGGTGGGCCACCGTGTTGTGTCTCAGTTACTGCAGCGCACCGAGCAGTTTGATTTCAAGATGCCGCTCTGACGGAGCGGCTCCATCAGTACGGAAAGTCTGCATCGCACAAGGGCTCTCTTTGCGGTCACTGATCGCGAAAGGTTCGAGCTCTCTCGTCGCTGAGACTGAGGAACCGACCAGAGCTTCCCCAATTGTGCGTTGGAGCTTATCATACGACGAGGGTACAGCTAGAAAATCCTGCGGCAGGATTCCTGCCATGGACAGCTCACGTTTGATGCATTGGGATACGCACAGGAGATCCCAAGGTAGCCCGACAGGATAATCCCGTGACGGGATTCCCGTCCGTTCCTCGAAGAAAAAAATTTTTTCCATATTTTTCGTTCAAACTTCAAGTTTCCTTCCGAGGGAAATAGTTTTTCATTTTCCCTTGGAAAAATGGGAAACACCGTGCCACACCGTGTGCTCAACGAGCACACGGTGTGCTCAATCTCCGTGCCCTCCGAGGGAACCAAGTCTGTAGCGCCTTCAGCTGCTTGGCAATCCTGGCGGGCAGGGTCGCGTGGCCCCAGCAGCCCCATCGCATGCAGTAGGCAAACCCGAGCCACTGCTTCAAAGTTCACCAGGACAACATGAGTGCCCACGCGGCGTGGGCCACGCCCTGTGAATTGAATCAAGTCGTGAATATGATAACGAATCTAAAATTATACGCACGGTTTACGAATCTGAATCCCCAATCATTAATTATACTCACGGGTATCAGATCTCAATCTGATCCAGTGAATTATCACTGGTGAATCAGTCCGTAAGTTGAACCATGAATTAGGATTAAAGGACGAGTTGAGTGATGGATCAACTTGAATCGGTGCATGATGCACCGTGTCTTCCTGAGTTCCCCTGTGTGAAGTGCACATCGCCCACCAATCCGACCTCCGCATCGTTTGCACAGTTGCACTGTCCAACTTGCATACGTCCAAGCTTCTGTGCGCCTCCGTTGAGTTTTTGGGAGGGGGGGGAATGCATTTTTCCACCGAAGTTCGCACCGATATAACGTTTCGCACCCGTATTCTTATTTGTACCCGTATAACTTCTCGCACCCGTATTACTATTCATACCCGCATAACTTTTCGCACCCGTATCGAGCTAACTTTCACGATCGTCATAACGTTGTTTTCCGTGATGGTTCCAAATTAGGCGCGCGAATTCTTGCCGTGACTTTTCCAGTATACACAGATTCAATGGAATCAGCTGGGAAATCAGCTTTGTGAGCAAGGCATGTTGATCACCCTTCTCTTGAATTTTCAACTGAGCAAATCCTCCGAGTCGGAGTCTCCGATTCACACCTCAGAATTTCTGATCCTGGGCGAGGTGTGAATTATAGATGGGCGGCGTAACGTTTTTTTTACGGTTTACGTTACGGTGTGCGTAACGTAAGCAGTTTACGGTTATGGAAAGGCCTTACGACTTTACGGTTGGTGCTGAACTGCTTTTTTGGAATTGTGGCGGAAACATTCGCTGTAATGCACTCCACGAGAGCTCAAATAGTTGTTAAACTCATTTCTTGTGGCTCGGATCCAACCGAACGGCTGAGAGAGTAACATTTGGTTTCGCATTTACCACTCGTCTCCTTTGCAAATTCCGTCCGTTTTACTCCCAGGCTGGCCCGGAACTGCCAAGCCGGCCTCGTCTACGCATGCCCATTCACAGGAAATAGATTTAGGCGACTTGAATTATCAATCCTCGTTTTGTCCTCTGCATCTCCGTAAGGCCCGTTACGGCGCCGTAATTTTACGGTACGGTTGTCCGTGAAAACAGTGAATCCTGGAAATGGTGAACCGGAATAAATTTCCCGCGAACCCTGATAACAGGGAAGGAACTAGCGCGCGCCATCAGCGCGCGGCCACAAAATTCAAGCCGAGATCACCTTACGTCATAGGTGTGGTAATCGACCGGTTGGTCTAGTGGTTAGGCGTTAAAGTTAGTAACCGACTGTCCAAGGTTCAAATCCTGTGATCATCATGGTACTTTTGTAATTGAGACCCGGTTCAACCGCGGCGGTTGAGGTATTGACCAGCTCGGGCCAGTAATCTTGCCTAACTCAGCTGGCATGCCTCCTCAGCAGTTACTCCGGGTTCACGAGTTGTAATACAATGCTATCCAGGAGCTCAGTATGGAAGTTGTATTTGTTCATGTTCAAGAGGAACATGCATTGGGACCTGTTGCCTCATGCATTGCTGTTTATCCTTGTGGTACTGCCAGGATTGTTCATCAACAAGGTTCCCATACTTCTCCTATAGTCACTCCTATGGACTCAAACGCTTTGCTCATGGCAATCGCGTATTTCAGCTAGTTGGTAACGGATTGAAAACTCACTCCCTCGTAATGGAACAGTGGAACAGAAGACAAAATATTTGATCAAAAGCGGACTGGAGACGACACAGATTTCCGAAGCCCGAAGAAAGAGCACCATTCAGTACTTCGGAAGTACTACTTCCTGTCCACAACCATGGCATAGGGTGACTCGAAAGCTATTACTAGACCGTTCGTGTTGCTCTTACTTTTGAAAAGTCGCTTCAAGTCTTGAAGCGACTTTTCAAAAGTAGGACGCCTAGTTCTTCGTTGCGTGTCTTGAAGTTCAAGACAGTGGTCCACAGCGCTGCGATTCTTGTGAGCAAGCTGACTACTCAAACATTAATCAACCGGAGAGAGAGTGATCATTGAAAGTTGAATCGGTTCGGGAAGGAGTGGTAGAAAAATTACTGATATTTAGCATACCGGTGCGGGCGAGTTTGTTGTTCACTATTGTAAGGCTTTCACCCGCTTTAGTGGGAGAAAAAGTCCCTACAACGGATTTACTCGCCCTTCACCTTTTTCAGGATTCACTGTTTTCAGGCGGGACCCCTTACGGTACGGGGCTTGAATCGTAACCGTGAAAGTGAGCGTAACGATCCGTAACGTAATTCTGCCCATCTATAGTGTGAATCGGGGATCTCCTGACGCAGAATACCGCCCCGCCAATCTCAACTTCAATCTGAGCTTTCTCGTTCTGCGCTTGTTATTAGACTGTTCAGTGAACAGTGTTCATTTGCTACTATCTTCACTCTTCTAGCCGATCTTCACTGTTTGTTGACTTCCAATCGCCAACGAAGAAAGTCTCTTCGGGCGAATACTCAAGTTGCCTTCAGCCTCTACGCTCGCCAAGCTGGCCGTCTCGTCTCGTGGATCTGTGAGTCACAGACTGTGACGCCACCGTGCATCACGCGTCACGCCGCTCACAATATTCGCCTTGTGCCACTCAGCCTCCTGAATGAACACTCTCGAACGTTCTTGCACTGTTATGATTGGAGCTATCTTCGCGTTGGCAGGTTCTCCATCGTGACGTAATAATAATGAGAACATCGGAAGCATTATCACTGAACCATGATCCAGTTTCATTTGAATTGAGAGAATATCATATGTCATATCAGAACACGGATTGGGAGTTCTTCGACCCCAACTTAGACGAGGACTGGTGGGAGAATTTTACCCTTCCTTCTCTTAAAACAGCATCCTTTCTGACGCTGATCGGTTTCATCGTCTCTTGCAGTCTCTGCATCGCCCATTTTCTCACACAGCGAGAACGGGGAATGCATAAAGGGACATCCAAGGGCTTCCAAAAGGTATCGAATGTTGAGAATGGGGGAGCCGCTGCTGATGACGAGTATGACGGGGACAGAGAGGAGCCGCAGGGCAAGAAGCCACGGTACCCGGCGGTAGACTTCTTCAGAGGAAATTGCATCCTATATGTGCTCATATTCCACTTGCTTTGGCTATTTGGAGATTCTGGCATGCTGCCTCGTTTCCCACTCCGCAGAACCCCGACTATACCTTTAAGTAACTACCTATACTTTGGTATGATCTACCTTATGTCGAATACTTGGATTCATCTTTCGTCGACTTTCCACCCGTATATCTCATATTTCACGTAAGACCGTCTGCCGAAGTATGGCGCCGTACCATCAGTTCCTCAGGTACTCAATCGCTACTATTCTCTGCATTTACGTGCTATGTTGGGAATCAGAAATATCCGGTGTGTGCCAAATAATGCTCTGCGTCGGACTATCCCTGGCGATAGTCCACGAGGATCGAATAAAATGGAGAAACCTCATCATTAGAACACTCAAGCTGGGAGTAGCAGCAGGGACTATAAGCGCCCTAACGTGATAACGCTTACGAGCATCATTTGATTGTTCTTGTCATTACTTGTGATAGGTATATCTTTATGCCCAGATCCCCTATATACTTCGGTGCCATCCACTGCATAACGCTCAATACCCTTCTCACAATGATCTTCATCAGAGTAAGTTGAGCCTCCCCCTAAGATGATACTGCCTCTTCTGCTCGACGGATCTTCCATCATATTCCCATCATCATCGTATCCTCTTCTTCGTCTTCTACTCAGGTCCCCCGTATTGCCTTAGTCGGATTCGTTTCCATCCAGTTTTTCACGATGATGGGCGGCGTGTTCCCCCTCGAGATCCCCACTAACCGTCCCACAGTTGATGTTATCCCATGGTACGCCAATCAATGTCCTTTGCCTATTAGTCTACAGTTCAACAGTAGAGAAGGCCCCTTGATAAATGGCTCCTCTGGTCGAACAATGCTCACAACACCTCACCAGAGTCGAGGGAAAGGTTTTCGTCGTTGTAGGTTCCACAACCTTGGATACTGCTTACTCGGTGTCTGGCTCCATAGCGTCGGTGCTCATAAGATTTCGGCGATCGAGTTGATACCGGGCAGGTCAGTGCACTTCGAGGACACAGTCTTCACGTTTTTCGGACGACATGTAAGTTATCCTTGCTGTTGTTCCCCCCATGGATACCTGAGTCCTTTAGTCATGATGTACGTCCGTGTTTTCTCAGTCCCTGACGGTTTACCTTGCGCACATGTTACCCGTTCTGTTCATACTCGGAGTTTTCGTCTACTCGAGATACTGACAACCCTCCATCGCATCATGATCCGGGATCCACAGATGAGCTAATATTCTCCCTTCGGGGATTCTTACTCCCAACTGTTCGTTGTGTTCGCTAGTTAGAGGTAGGGGACCTACTTCTAGGATACCTTACACCAGGACGTTTTGCCGGACCGTCTCTATCCTGTCCCTGCTGTGTCTGTGGCGTACAGCTCGCAGTATTTTTGAGCTGTGACGCTAGTTGGTTCGTGAGTATTTCATAGAATTATTAGAACTCCTATATTGGTTACCTCGACTCTATTTGGTTTAGTGTTAACTTAATCTAGTGGGTTTGGCTGCCAACTTTGCCATAACGTCTCTGAGTTTAGGATAGAAACTTTTTACTCCTAACGTAAGGACTCCTTGAATAAGGTGAGGCTATTTCACGAGGGTTTCCCCACTTCGCGTTAGGATCCTAAACTCAAAGACGCCCTCATGTGATGATGAGGACATCCTAACAGGCTCAGAGATTAAGTACAAGTGGAATAAAATACCTGGAAGTGATTGAACCTGGCCCAGGTTACCTGGACCAACAGGATGTAATTAGCAGTAGCTAACGATTCCATCATCCGCCATCTCAACTTCGAACAAACTTTCGTGTTGAGCCGGAAAGTACAAAAAAGGGGTGGTTCGAGCGGGCAGGGGGCGCCGAGGCAGAACTCACTACAAACAAACGACTTCGACATGAACTTTGACCTCCGTGAAACCTCTACCTACGGGATCGGGAGTCGAGCACCGTCCGCGACTAATCTGAAGGCGACCACGATAGCTCGGAACTCGCGGAAACGCTCCCCGCTGCCTCGTGAAAGTTCAAGCCTATAGATCTCGCGTTTGGCTGCGCACCGCAGGTACACAACCCTAGACGCGTAGCGGATAGCCCAGGCAGAGTTTAAAACCCATATGATAGGTGTAGACTCACTGCTCACCCGTAGTCTCGGTTCGTGGATCGGGTGAGGTTTCGAGTCGAGTGACGGTAGACTAATAGACGAGAGGTGTCTAAGGTTCAGAACCGCATTCCCTTCGTCGATACTCAAACCAGTATCGTGAAACACTTGCACCCCTTGACTAACAGGCTAGCTGAGATTACCAGGACACAAGTATTGTCCCCGGTCGTCGCAGTTCCACCGTCGATAAAACCCTCCGGCATTGACCTCAGCGCGACCTACCATATCGACAATATCTGGACGATTTGCTTGACAAGAGGAGGATTCAATAGGGAAGCTTCACTATTTGGCAGCTTCTTGCTTTACTCAGGATTTTCCTCACTATATATAGAAGTTTACATATGAATTCGGGAAGAAGTGTACAGAAACCAACGAGGATTTTCCAAAGTTCCCTCACAATTGTCAGCAACACATGTAGTTGACCAAATACAAATCTTCCCATACTGGGCATGTGTATCGACACTCCCTCCACAGTACACAGCCGAGCGCATCACGGATAAACTGGCAGATGAAACTCCAACACAAACTCACCGCTCCCGGGTCGCCAGTCCCTTTAGGTAGGGCTGCCTTAGCCATGGTCTTGGCAGTTCTTGTATCGCTTATAGCTACGGTGCGGTCATACCCTGCAGAGGCTAATATTGAATCCTGGCCCAGGCCCCCAGGACACACACTGGACCTTCCCATTGTGGGCCTCTTCGAGTCTCGAAGTTCGAGAGTACCTGCCATCACTCTGATGCTCGAGGCCCTTACCAAGATACCTACACACTGCTCGGGCCGAGGTCAGGTCCCACACCTTCACGGTCTCATCAGCACTACCGCTGGCCAGAGCGTTCGAGGCCACCCGGCTTACATCCAAGCACATGCCTGGACCCGTGTTAGTTTGGGGAGAAATACCGTTGGCATTCTTAGTAACATTCTGAGCTGAAAAGTAATGCGTAGTCTTCACTAGGAGTCGCGCGGATCCTTGACTTCAAAAATAGCAAATATGAGTACCGTGTGGATATCGAACGCACAACCTATCGCTACATAATGACATGCTCTACCACTTCCACCAATTCGTCTCAATAACATCACTCCTCCGTCCCAACCCCCAATACGGACCTTTTTCTTATTCCGTCGCGTCCAATTCTTCCCCTTCATCTCAGCCTTACGTACCCCGAGTGTAGCTGTGGGCTTCATGCAATACATCAACGACGCATCCCATATATCAATGGACTGATCAGAGGTTCCTAATCAACCCGTTCCAGATGACTTCAACGAGGAGCGGTATTACCAACAGCAAGGAAAGACTCCGATCCCTTGGTAGAGCCAGCCATCTTAGGCAACCAAGCTGTGCATAGAGGATACGATGTTAGCAGTAAGTCATGATGGACATACCTTCACACTAGACCGGCACTTGAGATCAGCTAGGGAGGTTGTCGGTACTACATCCCGCCTTGCTGGGTATCATGTAGATGTACCTCCAAACTGCATGCATCATCCTCAGCGTTGGCAGCCACAAACGTGAGGTCACTGTCCTTAATAGTGTAGTAGTCATCCGTGCCAGCGTTGGCAGCCACAAACCTGGGGTCACTGTCCTTAATAGTGTAGTAGTCATCCGGGCCGTCCTCGGACTCAGCCTCGCCTCCCAACATCGTCACCAGTCATGTAGGGATCCTTCTCCTTAGCCAGTCGGGCATCCTATCGAGCATTTCGCACAGTGAAAATTCCTGAGATTCCCCCTTTCCACCACCACCTGGTGCGGCTCCACAAACAGGTTAGCAAATCGATCCGTCTCAACTTCATCGTCACAATCGTCCATATTGAACTCCTTCTCGATGCCCTCAGCGGCATCATCGTCGGTGTCTAAGACCAGCCCAGTACCCACATGGGCGCCATTTCCTTTACTACCCTCTTCCGCCCGTCCGCTCTGCTGTTGCTGAAGCTGCTCCTCCAACAGCTTCTTCCGTTGGTCCCGAGCCGACTCAGCCGCCTCGACATTGCCGCTGTTCATGGCTGCTCGAGCCAACCAACGTACCGAGGTGATGGGAGATTTACTATCCATGTGGACCAGGGAGGTACTGCAGCACTATGGAATTACATTGGGGCTTATCATCGACAACCATAGGGGGGTGTAGGCCCTTGTCAGAGGAGTCATATCACTTACACGGGCTTTGAAACCTGGCACATGGCCCCAGAAGTTGCCACCGACGAGTCTACGCCGGGTAATTTACTCCGATGTTGGAGTGTTTTAACACGCGCTTAATCGACGCTCTTCCACTTCTAGTCCGTATTTTCAGCTAAAAGGTTCTCATCCCCTTCGTTACAAACCATGTCCTGAGACGTGCATCAATGCCTATTTTGAAAATCATAGAGTGGCGTTCTTCCCACGCCACGGTGGGAAGCTTCGGATCCTCGAGTCTCGGCCCTCGAAAGTTGCAACGGCACCTTATCGAGGATTCTCGACAGTTGCCGCTGGAATTTATTAACACCCGTTGAATAAGTACGATACTAAGTCCAGCCGATAGAGGGGCTAATGACAACATTCTGGGAGTAGACACATGCGATAGAAGCATTAATGCTGATGGTTCTAAATGTTGTCATCCGGGCTGGCCGCAGTCGTAGAGGCGTTGTGATTCCCATGTGAAGTCTTTCCTCAAAGGCGCAGAAAGCCACGAGCATGTAATCTAAATCGGCCTATTTTCGTTCCCAAGCCATGATGCATTTTTGACCGTACGAACTACCCCGTCTCTCTGGGGGAAAACTGGGAGGAAGGCAATGGGAGATTCCTCAGAAAGGAAGGCTTCTGATAGTTCGAGGTCACCGTTGGTGCGCTTGAAACGAAACATTCGATCGTCGGAGAGCGGAGCGATCTCGCAGGAATCGTCAGGCGATACACAGCCTTGCTGAAGGACAATAAGCAACGAACAGGTTGTAAAGATTATGGTGAGAATAATACGAGGAAAAGCCATTGAAGGGGCGTGTTGACGATTGAGAGTAGACACTTGACGAGGAGTCTAATCAACCTTCAGCCTCTACTCTCGCCAAGCTGGCCGTCTCGTCCCGTAGATCTGTGAGTCACAGACTGTGACGCCACCGTGCATCACGCGTCACGCTGCTCACAATACTCGCCTTGTGCCACTCAGCCTCCTGAACGAACACTTTCGAACGTTCTTGCACTGTTATGATTGGACCTATTTTCGCGTTGGCAGGTTCTCCATCGTGACGTAGTAGTAATGAGAACATCGGAAGCATTATCACTGAACCATGATTCAGTTTCATTTGAATTGAGAGAATATCATATGTCATATCAGAGCACGGTTTGCGAGTTCTTCGACCCCACCTTAGACGAGGACTGGTGGGAGAATTTTACCCTTCCTTCTCTTAAAACAGCATCCTTTCTGACGCTGATCGGTTTCATCGTCTCTTGCAGTCTCTGTATCGCCCATTTTCTCACACAGCGAGAACGGGGAATGCATAAAGGAACATCCAAGGGCTTCGAAAGGGTATCGAATGTTGAGAATGGGGGAGCCGCTACTGATGAGGAGTATGACGGGGACAGAGAGGAACCGCGGGGCAAGAAGCCACGGTACCCGGCGGTAGACTTCTTCAGAGGAAATTGCATCCTATATGTGCTCATATTCCACTTGCTTTGGCTATTTGGAGATTCTGGCATGCTGCCTCGTTTCCCACTCCGCAGAACCCCAACTATGCCTTTAAGTAACTACCTATACTTTGGTATGATGTACCTTATGTCGAATACTTGGATTCATCTTTCGTCGACTTGCCACCCGTATATCTCATATTTCACGTAAGACCGTCTGCCGAAGTATGGCGCCGTACTATCAGTTCCTCAGGTACTCAGTCGTTACTATTCTCTGCATTTACATGCTATGTTGGGAATCAGAAATATCCGGTGTGTGCCAAATAATGCTCTGCGTCGGACTATCCCTGGCGATAGTCCACGAGGATCGAATAAAATGGAGAAACCTCATCATTAGAACACTCAAGCTGGGAGTAGCAGCAGGGACTATAAGCGCCCTAACGTGATAACGCTTACGAGCATCATTTGATTGTTCTTGTCATTACTTGTGATAGGTATATCTTTATGCCCAGATCCCCTATATACTTCGGTGCCATCCACTGCATAACGCTCAATACCCTTCTCACAATGATCTTCATCAGAGTAAGTTGAGCCTCCCCCTAAGATGATACTGCCTCTTCTGCTCGACGGATCTTCCATCATATTCCCATCATCATCGTATCCTCTTCTTCGTCTTCTACTCAGGTCCCCCGTATTGCCTTAGTCGGATTCGTTTCCATCCAGTTTTTCACGATGATGGGCGGCGTGTTCCCCCTCGAGATCCCCACTAACCGTCCCACAGTTGATGTCATCCCATGGTACGCCAATCAATGTCCTTTGCCTATTAGTCTACAGTTCAACAGTAGAGAAGGCTCCTTGATAAATGGCTCCTCTGGTCGAACAATGCTCACAACACCTCACCAAAGTCGAGGGAAAGGTTTTCGTCGTTGTAGGTTCCACAACCTCGGATACTGCTTACTCGGTGTCTGGCTCCATAGCGTCGGTGCTCATAAGATTTTGGCGATCGAGTTGATACCGGGCAGGTCAGTGCACTTCGAGGACACAGTCTTCACGTTTTTCGGACGACATGTAAGTTATCCTTGCTGTTGTTCCCCCCATGGATACCTGAGTCCTTTAGTCATGATGTACGTCCGTGTTTTCTCAGTCCCTGACGGTTTACCTTGCGCACATGTTACCCGTTCTGTTCATACTCGGAGTTTTCGTCTACTCGAGATACTGACAACCCTCCATCGCATCACGATCTGTGGTTCATAGATGAGCTAATATTCTTCCTTTAGGGATTCTAACTGAGGTAGATAAAAGTTGAAAGTCTTCCGACTGTTCGTTGTGTTCGCTAGTTCCAGTTAGGGGGCCTATCTGATAGGATACTTTATATTAGGACGTCTCTGAGTTTATGATCCCAACGTAAGGACTCCTTAGATAAGGTGAGGCTATCTCACGAGGCTTTCCCCGCCTCACGTTAAGATCCTAAACTCAAAGACGTCCTGATGTAGGGATAGGGACATCCTAACAGCTTCAGAAATGAAGTACAAGTAGAATAAAATACCTGGAAGTGATTGAACTTGGGCCAACAGGATGAAATTAGAACTAGCTAACGATTCCACCATCCAGCATCTCAACTTCGAACAAACTTTCGTGTGTGTGTGTGAGTTTAAAGTCCAACGCCGACAACACGGCTCAGTTAGACTCGCGTCGATGCACATTGGCTCTCGAGGGATCAGTTTTAGCCTTTCAAATTGCCTACTTTCATCCTGCCAATGAGTTTGGTCCACAGGGGGAGATAACCTCTGCCAATGTACTTCCTTTACTCTCGGCAGGACCCGCTTACACGACTGCGGGGGCTGTGTACGACCACGGAACACAAGCACTCGCCACAGTGTGTTGACCACAAGCATCATCTCCGAGACTCGAAAAATCCATACCCTAGCATAAGTCATCCCTCACCCGAGACTATCACTCTCGATGGCAGAAGCATATACCTCTAGTTGCGTTCCTTCATATCACGGGTTTGTCGCATTTCGTGTTGAGCCTGTAAGTACAAAAAGGAGGTGGTTCGAGCAAGCAGGGGGCGCCGAGGCAGATTCTGCCCCGAGTTCTGAACTCACTACAAACAAACGTCGTTTGTCAAACGACTTCGACATGAACTTTCACCTCCGCGACCTAGCAGATCAACAATAGCTGGACGATTTGCACGTTGTTTGACAAGAGAGGGATTCAATAGGGCAGCTGTAGGAGAAACGAGAATTCATCTTCATCCCTCTCACGCATCAGTTATGAGCTGATTTTACTCAGAATCTGCCTCTTGCATCAGGATCCGCAAATGGCACCACAGCACGCATGCGTTCTATCGATTGAAGAAGCACGCATGAGCTGAAACCTGCAGCCTCCGAGTTGTGACAGGGCGCGTGTCGACTCTAGAGTACCATCTGCCAGATGGCATCTGGGAACTGCGGAGGATGACACGCAAGGTACACTAAGGACACTCAGGTCGTCAAGCTTTTGGCGAATCCACCGAGGCTTGCTACCTGGAGTGCTCCTAAGACCTACATCGGAGACCTCGGTTAAAAAAATATAATACGCTTAACATATACTACTCCAGGTTGTCAAGGCAGTCTGGCTTGTGTGACTAGCTTGGCAGCTTGAAGGACTCAGGCGCTCCCTTGTGTCGGCAGCAATTGTGCCAATCGCCGTCCCGAACCAACCAGCCTTCGTCGAAAGACAACTCTCTGGTGCGGTTTCAGCTACGGAGAAGCTATGCTTTTCATGAGCAAACAGTACAGCGCACAGACCGTCGACTGCGATGCTCCCTTTTCGCGTAAGGATGCTTTATGAAGTACCTTCGGGCTGCGAAGTTCGGAAGTACTTTAAAGACGCGCCGTAAGCTTAGGAAATGTGGCTTCCGAAACAGCCTTATCCTAATCAGCCCTCCTAACGTGCTTACCGGCGATTTTCTCAAGGTAAATCTCCTTATGTCCTTATTCCTTATTCTAACCTTCGAAGGACTACTTCGAAGTCTCGGTATCCGTTCATTGACTTTCTTCGCGGACTCTGCCTATCATTTGTGATTGCTTTCAACATACTTATACTTTGCCGAGAGGGCAGGCTACTGCCTTCCGAGAGATGGGTCGACAAATCATTCGGATTACCTACACTAAGTGTAGGAGTTCAAGTCTTGAATATGTGAAGTTCATACTATACTTCATCGTGGCCTTCACTGCAAGTTATGGGGGCTTCATCATCATCTCCTACATGGCGTATATCATGTAAGACTCGCTCATCTTGCTACTACCAATTGAGAGGCTCCAGTCTCGTTGAAACTGCTGTCGCTCGCACGAATTTCGAGTTATTGACAGAATGCTAAATGCGGGTGTTGGTGCATGATCTCGGATACTCCTGCATTCTGTCGGCCATTATCTCCGTAGGAAGCTAGCCCCTTCCCCTAGTGTTTGTTCACCTCCCGACTGGACTACTCCACATAAGATAAATGAACATGACAGCACTGAATTGATTCAGAATGGTGGAGATACAAGTAGCATCATCACTCAGCCTTGCGCAGAGCTTCAACGACCGCTTGGGGGTCTCCTTCAGCTTCCTCGTTGACAGCCAACAGCATCTTCTTCTAACTACTGCTAATCTTATCATCGGCTCGTTTACTGGATAGAAAACTGACCACCTTGGAGTTGCCAACGAGACATGGAGTCATCAAAGTCTGACCACACACCCGTCATTAAATGAGACCAACTGATGCTGTCCGCCACCTCAAGGTTCGCATCATGTTACAGCAACAGCAGACCAGAAGGATAGAAGGGTAAATCCAATTAAAGAGGCTCCCATATGCAGCGTTGCCACAACGCTGTATATGGACTTGCACAACGCCGTTGTGCATTTCGACTCGACAGTGTCGAGTCGACACTGTACATGCTTCGGCTGCTGTCATTACCCCTCGAGCCCTCAGCATTGATATCAATCGCCGTACTGCTACCTCTTCAGCCACTTGTAGAGTTCTCATGAGGGCTTTGAGTCCGTATCGAGACCCAACCCAGTGGGTGGCAGTACCTCACTTTTGTTCGGTTCGCTTTAGTACTGTGAAACTTCACTGAATGCTTGTCCGCGGTTATCAACATAGACATGTGAGAGGGCCCTTCCCAGGAGGTTGATACTCAACTGTACACAACTCTGCTTGGGTTCATGAATATTCCCCAAAGGATAGTAAATGAAATTGAGATAAGTCAAACTATATGAATCGTGAATGTGTTACGAACAAAGGCGTCTACTCCTGAGAGGTCCCCATTGCCGTCCTCGAAGACCTAACATACTCCAACAGCCTCAAGTGGTCTAGAGTGGGTCCCATCGGGCTCTGTGGATCTGAGCAGAGTTAGTCTATCACGAAGTAGCCGAGGTGTGGTATGACCTGCAAAGTCAGAGGCCCACCGTGCAGGGCTGTGAATACTTCGACTAATGACGGGCAGCACCGGCACGTTGATAGCAACTTTATGGTCCTTCAGATGGAGTTCGCGCTTTACTGCAAGCTGGTGTTCACATATGCGTTGGGTGTCCTCGAGGTCACTGACGAGGGACTGCGGTACAGCAGCACGTCTGAGCAACGTGGGCGTGCCGGGACCACAAGAATTAGAGTACCCAGTGGAAGCGTGAGCATTGGCAGGAGATACCGATGAAGTACTCTCGTTCACACCTAGAACCAGCACTATGAGAGGTCTCGAGAACACCTACTACTTGGAATACCACTACTGCCAGAACGGGAGGGTACATCCAGGATAGGACTCTGAAGATTTTTCCAATGGCGTGAACCCATCTATAGTCAACCTACTGCAATGTTGATAGTAGAAGTAAGCCAAGGCATCCCCGGGACGCTGTATGATCTCGGCTTCAACACGTTGCTCGTTTCCATTCTCGTTATGCTACGAAACAGTGTGAGCAAACTCCAACGCAACCACTTCCAGTAGAGAAATGAGGAAAACTGTACTGGCAGTAAGCCTACCCATGAGGTAATATCATACCACTACTCAAAGGTGATTCAAAACTTCGCGAACAACTTGAAAACCTTGGAATTTCTCAACCACGGACCTTCTGACAACGAAATTTTATGTGAACCTCAAGCATATCACAAAAACATGCATACTAAACATGATAATTTTTCATGTCCACCACTGTGCGTGGGAGATTTCCAAGTTATCCACGAAGTTTTGAAACACCCTTTACTACTACTGTTGACTTCTCTGTGATGCTGGTGGCGTTGGAGGAGCCCCTGCAGGTGGAGCTGCTGTTGCATGTGCTGGTAGCGCTGCTGATAATACTGTTGGTAACATTAATACATCTGCTACTACTGCCTCTCCCACCTCCCCAACAACCCTTACCTTCACTATACGACGATCCCTTACCTCACTCAGTCAGCAGAGTGCAGACTACATGAAGATTATTCACATTCGAGCATGGCCATTGGAGGCATAATATGTAGAGTAGTTGCTGATGCCTATATGCATGTCCGCGTCTTTGTGGGAAACCACTGCCCCCAAGGAACGTTGAATGCCACCTCCCACAGTCAATGGTATACCAAATGGACCAACAACATGGTCAGCTAGGCTTTAAGACATCATTTCTATCCTCTCCCGAGGAATCGGCGATTCCGCATACGGCGACGATCAACTCACATAGTACCCTACCACCTAGGGTCCCCCATGCATGTTCCGCTGATCTGTTCCCCTACTATTATCACGAGTCCGAACCGTCTTGTTGGGAGAGAGTAACAGGAGAGAGTGTTGTCGGATACAACTACAGATGGTGGTAAAATATGTATGTGCTCATTCAAAGTTTAATTATAGAACTTCTATAGACATCTCCTTTGCTTTACGACGGCTCTCGCGATTGGATTTCACATACGAGGCTCCACCCTAGGAATGCTCTTGAAGCTCAAGACAGGTCTATTCATTCAAATGTTCAATACCAAGTTGGTCCCCGTAGGTGATCGGAATAATCAGCGGCGAGCGAGATGTATACGGAGCGGCGGAGCGTAGCGAGAAATGCTTTCAGTTTTTGAAACTCGTACACTACAAGTTGAAGGTTGCATCTCCTTCTTTGAAAATGATTAAATTCATTTTGATGGTTAATAAGCAGGGGCAAACACGTCTCGCCAAGTACGCGGATTTCCTAACGATAAAGTAATGACGATTTTGCAGTGAAAGAAAATGCCGTCATGGTCTTTATTCAGGGAGCGACAGGCCATCGAGAATGAGCTCATTCGGAAGTGTTTGTCGCGGAGTGAGAATCAGTGTAGTTTTTTGGAATATCGTAATTACAAGGTAGTAGTGTTGGAGGTGGGAGACGTACTCCTATTCCGCCCTAGCAGGTGATTTACCGTCGATATGCATCTCTTTACTTCATCATGGGAGTTGACGGCTCAGATGAAGACAACGAGCTGGCCTATTTAGAGTTCATACATACACTAGTAGAGACCTTAGATAAGTAATGAGGGGTGGAGTCAACTACGATCGATTCACACTATTTGAGATAGTGTGTGAGAGTTTTAAGTCCAACGCCTACTACTACGACAACACGGCTTAGATTCGCATCGATGCACATTACATCACGAGGGATCAGTTTTAGCCTCTTAAATCGTCTACTTTCTCCATGCCAATGAGTTTTGTCCACAGGGCGAGATAACCTCTGCCAAATAGGATGGTGTTTCCTCGTCATACCATCTTTTCAACAACTTGTGAATCTTCATGTCATTCCTCTTCGCATAGGACTTTTCCTATCGCGTGTATCTATTCAATTTGGACAACTTCTGTGTCGAATTTGCATATGTTCATAAAGACGATGAGTTCATGGCATTAGTGTTTTCGCTGTGAATAAATTCGGAATAGGTATTTCGAGAACGTATGCGAACTTGATATTATGTTCAACATGGAGAAGGCTCATTTCATCCTGGACGAGATGTTAGCCAACGGCTGCATAGCGGAGACCAACACGGCCAATGTAATTTTCTCATACCACTCCTCGGTGAAATGACCTTTTATTGCAGATACTAGCTCCTTTGTATTTACTCGACAAGCACGGTGATAGTGTCCAGTAAGATTCCTGTATGATTGCGTTGTTGTTTCTTCCCTCATTCACTCCCGGTGTGCCGCGTTGATCTTATGTTTATTCATACATTTACAAACTTCAATCCATTTGTGGCCTGTCGGAAATTCATCGCCATTGTCCATTCGACCGAAAAAACATCATTCTTCACACCGCTTTCTACCTCGAGATGAAAAAAGATATAATACGCGCCATCTGAGACGCGCAATCCCTGGCAGATCGTTTTTCATCGAATTTTGAGCTAATTTCTTCACCAAACACCCTACATATACCTCTTTTACTGGAATCCAAGTCGCGCACTTCAAACTCTAAGAAAATTTTCAGCCCTATTTTCGATTCCCTGCGCGCATCTACTGCGGCAGTATTTCGCGCGCAAAATATTGAATCACCCTATGGAACATCTCTGAAGCACCCCTGAAACAAGCTGAGTATCTGGTCACTGAATGTACATACAACCTATCAGCCATAATTATGCCCCTCTACCGTAGCCACTCCATCGTCGATTTCCTATCCTCCTCTCAGAGCTCTACTGGTACTGTTGGTGGTAGCGGGTCCGACGCCGAGCACAATTGCGTCTACCGCTGTTGATAGAAGTAACCATGTCCACAACTACAATACCCGTTTTCAGCCGAATCCCCGTACCAAAAACGAGCATCCAACCGCAATGACGCACCCAGACCTAAGGTCAAGTCGGTGTTACTGCCCAGAAGGAATTGTCGGTTTCCCATCAAGGCCCAGCAGCAACTAAGACTACAAAAAAAGCAGGTGCGCGAACCCATCTTCGACAGTGAGTTCGAGGACTTTCGGGACAGGGTCCGAGAGCGTGTGCAGTACCTCAATTTGTAGGGACGGTAAAACGGTTGCATCTCTTACGGAGTGGGTAAAATTTACCCACTAAATCAGGACTTGCAGCTGGATGGGTCAGACTAGTACTCAGGGCGCACTGTCTCGGGATGGCTTCATCAACTAGGGTTCTCCGTAACGGAGTGAACGACATCTCCAACCGAGTGAACGGTTCACTCTGTTGGAAATACTATCTATGTCGATGGCCATGCGAGGGAAGATGTGGCTCGCATCTTCGCTTTCAGCCGCAAGGTGGCTGATCGTGTACAGTTGTATGACGAGCTCGCGGGAGTCTATCCCTCTCTTCGCACTATTGACGATGATAGCCAGCAGACTCTCCTCCAGGAGCAGGCTGTGGCACGGGGTGATCGGGTTATTCATGGGGTCGAGTTTCATTCTGAACTGGCTCCTTTCGATGCCGCGTACCGGTCGATTGCCAAGGCGATGAGAGTTACAAACTCTGCCAAGTCTACTGCTGGTTTCGAAGCAAGGGTGAACCATCAGCCGGCCGATATCACGCTTGAACTCATACGTAAGCACTTCCGATCATCCAGGGAGTACTTATGTTACTATGCTGAGGGCCTTACCATGCAAGTTATTGAAGACCTAAGGAAGTCTTGTCGAAAACATCGGGGGCCAGCGCCTGCAGTTAGTGTGCCGGCTAGAGCAAACACAAGTGGCAGGTATGATCGCCTTCGATCTAATTAAGTCACAGCAGTGTTCAATAGTTACTAGTTTCTCTCCCTATGATTGCTGAAGGGATGTAGTTGATAAGTACGTCTTGCTCTGATTCTTGCTGTCCACAGAGATGCCGCAGTAGACGCGTGCAGGGAATCGAAAATAGGGCTGAAAATTTTTTCCGAGTTCGAAGTGCGCGACTTGGATTTCAGTATAAGAGGTATATTTAAGATGTTAGGTGAAGATTTTAGCTCAAAATGTACTTGAAGAAAAAACGATCTGACAAGGATTGCGCGTACTGTGTTCCCTTCTCGAATAACCCAGTATCAACTCAATACCCCAGCGTTGCTAATGGTGCGAACAATGAAGACATGGATAAAATTGATTTCCAGCAGCGGAACACATCAGCCAACCTGTGAGTGGCGTTCGCGTCGCCTGAATGACAAGCCTCATCGGTAAGCCTCACCTTACCATACAGCCAGTATGTTACGGCTAGTGGAGCCAACCTGATTTGCGCGAGGAGTGGTATAACACGCATGCAAAGGTCTGCGTTGAACTGAACTCAAGACAGTATGACTTATAAGAACCTCTCGAAGAAGTTGAACAGTCACTACGCGGAGACTAACACTACGACACCGCTCATATAAACTTCAACGTCTTTCTCATCATCATAATGGTGCTGTGCTGAGAAGGGAATACGAGTCCCGTCGACTCCTCCCAAGAGGGTGATAAGAGTCCACACAGCAACGCCTGTTGCCACGGTCGGACGATACAATACTATTCACTATTAATATTCGGTTGCCAATCCCTTCACTAGGAAGAGAAGGTTTCCAATAGTAGAAGTAAGCAGAGATTATTCGGGGAGGCTTGGAAAACCCGAGTGACCTCGAGATAGATGAGAATAATGATAATAATATGACTATAATATAGATACTATTGTCCACTCATTACCGCGCGTCACAAAAACGACGCTAGCATAGAGTAAGAAAGAATAGACGACTGGACGTCTTTGAAACCTGATGGTTTCAAAAACACTTACGCCTACCACTCCAGGACGACAGATTGAAAGTACTACAAAAAGCACAGAGAATCAGCAGTGGTGACACGGAGATCAACTGCTATTATATTAGGACAGAATACAAGATTGGGATTACTACTACTACGACATATCTCAGACCGTGACAGTATTCAATTTTACCGACAAACGAATCTCGGATGAATCATATAAGACGTCGAGAACTACGATCGGGTGCAATTATGAAAACTGAATACTATGGCAAGTAAATAGTAATAGTGAATGAGTGATAAAAGCGGTGGATCCGTGGTGATGAGATTGTAGCATATTGTTAGGGTCACTACAGAACCCAGCGATAGCCTTCAGAGACTACTTATTCTACAATGTAACAATCTCATGGTGTGAGTGGTGACTTTCGAGAAGAAGAAGAAGCGATACGAACACGCACCTTGTGAGTGACTGTGAATATTAGAAAAGCGACATTCAATGATGAACGAGATCAACCCAATCAGCTTCGCTCCGTCTAGCAAACACCGAAGGATAATCAGTTGTTTATAGACGACAAGTACTTCTTAGGCTGAAATAACAAAAAAGGTATTCATGATTTTATAACAGTCCTCAGAGGCAACAACCAATAAGAAGCTACTCACTATCTACCGTGGGTAGTAGCTAAGAATAGGTCCCCAGTCGGCTCAACTTCCTTGTGGAAGACAGAAAGCCTTTGAATCGGTAATAACAGCATCAGGAGCAGGATGAGCAACATAGAGCATTAAACAAACCATGCCCTAAGTGGTAAGTAAACCACTATGAGATATGGAATGCCGAGCTACTCTGCTTGGTGATGAACACTCTGAATACAGACTGAATACACATGACCACTACCCCAATAAGGATAGTACCAGGAAGAGTAAGCAGTAGTAGCTTATTCAAGTATGAGAAGGATAGGCAATCGACATCATAATAATAATAATACCAACATCACTACTACTACTAGGTAGAGCAATGCTACAATATTGTAGGAACCGTACGGTCACTGGGGAATACTAAACTAAGTAAGCAATACAGTGCAATGCACTAGACGTTTTCCGAGCAGTTCAGCTTTCCATCAATTATCATCGTCACAGTACTGGTAAGGGACGATGCATATGCATAACAATGTTGTAACTTAAAAAGCGTATACTCCTCGGGGTACAGCTTTTGTAGCTGTCTGCTCAGCCAACTTCTCCGCGCGTTTTTCGTTGGGAGCTCCATCATAGTCAGCAGTTCTTCCCAGAGACACTGAAAGGAGACGCTCATCATCGAAGGTATACTCGACTTGTTGTGGGCGGAAGTGAACACTAGCGCCTCGAGAGCGAATGTCATCGTCCATCTCCTCGTAAACGTCACCGTATATTGACGCCACTGTTGAGCATAGGGACACTGATGAGGGAGAATGCTTCTTCGTCGTCCCTCCCAATTGCAGTGAATCTGATACAAAAACCGTCAAACTGCGCCTAAGCTCACGCTAGCTTCAACTCACCGATAGTGAGCTGATTCTCATTGAGCATTATCGAGTCCAGCTCTGGTGGAAGTTGTTCCTTCTTCAAAATGCTCCTCTTAGGGGCGACTGACCTACCGGCTGAACGGCCTCTGCTCATCCGATAACTGCTCGCACGGATGGGCTTATCGGGGACGGCTGTGCAACTGAAGCGATGAAGATGTGAACAGTTCGACCAGGAAAGAAAGCTAGACTTACCATCCCCATACAGCCGGTCTAAAACATCCTAATATACGTGAAAACATTAACTTGAGTGATATTCAAATAACTGGAAATTTGCAGTACTTACGATAGCTCTCTGAATGCGAAAAAGGAATTAACCGAAATGCTGTGGTTGAGCGGGAATCGCTAACGTCACAAAGGCGGGGACAGCTCCAACACAAAGATACGAAGTGTCTTTCCCAACACGACACTTCAGCAAATGAGTGAGAGATGGTAGTAGTCATTCTCGATATTATCAAGGGAAAGACGATTTTCGATAATGGTATAAACCAGCATACGTTGGTAGATGACTGACCACAATAATAAGGATACCAGCACTGAAAGGTTGTATTCAAGCTGAAGGCGCTTTGTTATCGCACTTACTCAGCTCTACTATTACTACGATGCATTGACATGATGGGCGCCCAGGGAAGCAATAATACCCTTAGGAGCATCTTGAGCGCTAGGCAAACGATGAAAATGAGGACGATCAACTAGAACCTCAGTACGATTTTTACACTGATGTGCGACCTGTTCAGGAGGGCTTTCACTCCCGAATGAACAGTACGATACCGATTCTTGGAAATGCACTAGAGGTGCGGCCTGCATTGATTGACTTCGGAGTTCAGTTTTCGATCCAACTTTTGCTTTTCTGATAGCATTAACATCAGCAGATGGGAAATGAGCTCGCCCCTCTGAGAAAGTAAACACATAAACAGCCATAGAGAAGTACTGTCAGCTTACTCCACCGAAGTCTCCTGTTCACTTCCTCCCTAGTATGTTCATGACCCTGGGCATCCTTAGCTTTCTCCGCTCCTATCCCCTTCGGACCAAACAGTATATCGAAACAGCCTGGCGTGTAGCTACGTCGACTGCCACTCTCACCGCTGTTACGCTCATCAGTGTGGCCGTTCTGAGAGGCTGTCCTTTTGATAGCGGCCTCCTTCGCAACAGGCGTTTCCTCCATCGTGCTAGAAGATTTATCAACAGCAGATGTCATAAGGACAGAACTACATGGAATAGCTAGCCGATCGAAAGATGCAACTCAGGTCGCTGAAAAGGCTACACGATTCGATGCCGTCTCCTTCGAGACTGTCTCCAACACAGAATTGGAGGCCGTCTCGAACTGATAAACTTTCCCAGACTCTCCCGCATCGACGTGCAATGTCCAGATACCCATCTCTAACGCGATACGGTAGTAATAACTCACAAACACATCAAAACACAGAGTGAGCTGTAAGGCACGAGAACGTGCAGGACCATTACTAAGAACGAGCATAGAAGAACAACGCAACTCGTGCAACGCTTCGACACTACACAATATCAAAGAACGTCACGCAGGCTCCATATAATGATAAGTTCACGCGAGCTGATCTGTCTCGACAAATATCGTTTATTCATAAAGGGGTTTCCCCGTCAATCACTTGAAGGGTCTTTATACCGAGTTGCCAAATAATTCAATGAGGCCGAGAGCGACCTAGCCGGATTGAGATTCCCTTAATGGTGTTGAAGACTCTCATTGATGCCTTCCATACTACCTCATCCAATCCCCATCACTATGCTGATGTCGTACTATAGGACGGAGCATATCCTCCCTTTGATGGGGTATAAACGAATATACCAGCCCATGGAGGTGCACATCCATGTGCTGAGGGGAACAATGATGGTACTGTATCTTGGGATGGCTTTGTTCCACTGGCATAGCTGCCCCACCAAAAGGAACTCATCGTTCTCGGGCATATTTCGGACGGCATAGCTGCCCCACTAAAAGAAACTCGTTATACCCGGGTATATTTCGGATGGCATAGCTGCCCCACTAAAAGAAACTCGTTATACCCGGGTATATTTCGGATGGCATAGCTGCCCCACTAAAAGAAACTCGTTGTACTCGGGTATATTTCGAATGGCATAGCTGCCCCACTAAAAGAAACTCGTTGTACTCGGGTATATTTCGAATGGCATAGCTGCCTCACCCAAGGAAACCCATTGTACTCGGCTATATTTCGAAAGGCGTAGCTGCCCCACTAAAAGAAACTCGTTGTACTCGGGTATATTTCGAATGGCATAGCTGCCTCACCCAAGGAAACCCATTGTACTCGGCTATATTTCGAAAGGCGTAGCTGCCCCACTAAAAGAAACTCGTTGTACTCGGGTATATTTCGAATGGCATAGCTGCCTCACCCAAGGAAACCCATTGTACTCGGCTATATTTCGAAAGGCGTAGCTGCCCCACTAAAAGAAACTCGTTGTACTCGGACATGTTACGGATGGCATAGCCGCCCCATCAGAATAACTGGCAATAATAGGCATATCCCATCGATGGCATCCCATGGCACATCCCTTGGGGCAGCTATGCCATCTTGAGATAACTTCCACGGGGCATTAAGCTAGGTTTATAACACTTATCATATTATCACCCGGTAATTGATTATTCGACAACACTGGTTAAGGACTCAACTCAATTGAATGGGAAGGAGAAGCCGAAAAGACTCAAAGGCAAAGGAATTACCCAGTCTAGTAATACTCGATGGGGTAGGGATATATACACAACTATGACCATCACAACTTCCCAGCACCTAGTTACAGACATTTCTGGCAGCGTCCACGATGCGATGGACTTCGAGCCAACGAGAAAACACATCGATCGGTAACCCGCAGGAACCAAAGTTGGCATCACATACGACGCAGAATCACCTAGCTCAGCTCCGTGTAACGCTGCCCGAATGAAGCGGCACTCAACGTACCCAATGAAAAGTTTGTTGAAGTTGAGAAACCTAGCTAGGTTAGGAAGAAGTGAACTTCAAGAGACTGACATCAGAAAGATGGGGGACGAACAACAAAACCATCGAAGCGAAGTCCATGACAAAGCCGATGAGCACTATGCCCGAATGGCAAGGAAGAAATGGAACGCCTCGGAAAACTACAACAAATAAGTAAATTATACTACATAATAGATGTACAAATTGACTATAGAGCGGTTACTGATTTCCGGAGGTACCGTACTGACAGAGCTGAAATAAGCAATTGCTCGGAAAATCATGTGTCTAGTTCACCACACCGTATACCTTCTCCTCAATAGTAGTCAATACCCTAGCGCGATCTCTCCTCAAGGCGGTCAACTCGAGGGAGTTCGCTGGCCTCAACATACTGTTCATAACGGTCGTCATATCCAGACGGCTCCGTCTGTTACCCTTAAGGGAACTACTCCTCCTCGTCGTTCTGGCTTGGTACTGTCGGCGTACCGAACGCTTTACCGGTCTGGTATTACGCGCATACTCTCTCAAAGGGACAACCTTCTGTGATTGCTTAGCGAGCCCTTCCATCTTATCCGCAGAGTCGTACTCAATTAAATCAACAGCTTCCCTGAAGGTCACCACTTTCGATGACACTTCGTCCGATACGGTAGGCGAGTGAGTGAACGATTGGGAACGGGAACGACAGCTATATTTCATGGATGCATCAGTTGACACGCTCTGAATATCGTCATCATAATCTGATGAAAGGCATAATACGAGGCGTCCTCTTACAAGGTATGGAGCTCGCCAAATCACCACATGATCATCGGGCTGTTTCCGTCGAAGAGAGCGCGAGAAGTATGATATATAAGTATGAATCCAGCTGAGAATTTTCAAGCGACGTTTTCTTATTTTCTGAGCATACGACTATATACCATGCGAAGCTTCTGTTGTCGATGGCTATCATACTACTGAAACTTGACCTAAAGTTTGCGAAACAGTTCTGATCACACTGTAGCAGAAAAGACTCGCTAGATACACCCCAGCCTCTATTCCCAGTGTGTGATGATGCTGTTTTCATCTAATCCAATCAAGACCTCTGAAGCCGAGCATTAGCCTTACCCTCAGCATTCGGCCTTGCCTTGACGACATACTGCAGTTTCCTCGATAGCTGCTTCCCATTCAGCGGGTGGTCCCGGCCAACAAGCGACCTCTTAGGAGAGGTCCAGAAGATGTCTGATACTAAACTGTACTCTTGGTGACGACGGCGGCGGCGGCGGCCTTGGACGAAGTCGAGTAGTGTTGTAAAGCACCCGGCTTGCTCTCCACAGCTATCCAGCATGCCTCGAAAAGTAACCGAGCTGATGCACGAGCCAATCCTCAACCACTAACACCAACGATGCCCCAGGGAACCGATACACCTTTACGAACCGTAGTACGCATCACAAATACGCAAGTCTTCCATTATCGGGCGCGCGCTTTTTACATTAAAGAGTCTCCCGGAGAACCAGGTTTCACCAACTCGCCAAGCTTGGTGATTTCGGGTCCTAATGAACTCTCGCCAACACGCTCAATCATGAGATACGACCCCTTCTGGACCATATTTCACCTCTTTGGCGTCGACACCTAACGAATTTCACCGAGATGTGGCGGAAACTGGTTGAGGTAATCCGTAGTTTCGTTCGCCCAAATGATCTATTCCGTTCTGTGCGCACGGTTACAGCAACTTGGTATTGGTGTAACATGCCACTGGCTCAGATATTGCTATAAAACTTGGTAAGCTTATCGGTATTCGCCAAGTACGTGTCGTAAAACGCCGATATCTTGGTATAATCATTTGTTTATGAAGATTACACCATCTTTGGCGATATCCGCCTTTTATCGATCACGGTTGGTATATTCCCGAGTCGGAGTCGAATATCGCCAGGTGATTTGTTCAAATCTGGTTTTGTGACAGGCTTTCGCCACAACTTTGTGATGTTTCCTGTCCGGCGAGAGTTTTATCAAGGCCGCATACCGCCAAGTTGGATTCAACCGCACACGGATTCAACCCTTGGTTCTGCTTTTCGTTGTCAGTGACTTTCGATGTCTTTGGACTCTGAGTTCAGATGAATATCATGTCTTGTGGTAGGGCGATAGGCGATCTATCATAGGCCGATCGAGTACAGGAGAGTTCGCGCGGGAAGCCCAGGATCTACTTACATGAGTTTTACCACGGCAGAGTTAATCCTTTGTCAACTTTGCCGAGCCGGCAAGGCCCAACGAGGAAGTTGAACAGCGTCGTATGGCCTTGTATGAATCGGTCAGTGATCTCCGATCATCATATCTCCATAGAGATTCTCCTTTTCGATGAAATGCTCCGACCAAAGCTCGAGTTCAATAATTCATGGCTGAATAAGGCTCCGACCAAGGCTCCGACAGCTCAGGCTTATTTGGAGAGACTGCGGCAGCACTTGAAGAAGGTTCAACAAATTGGGTCACAATACATCAAAGAGGTGGCAGGGAAGCGAGCGCTGGAACATAGAGAGGATATGGAGCCT